CGGACCTGGGGCTCTGCGCGCTCGTGTACGAGGCGCCCTTCGACGCCCAGGCCAGCCTCTACCAGGCCCGCTGCCGCCACCTGCAGCCCCGCTGGCTCGACTTCCCCGGCCGCGTGCTGGACGTGGGCTTCGCGGGCCGCTGGTGGGTCCTGGGCGCGCGCATGCGCGACTGCGACGTGAACCACGCCGAGTTCCTGCGCCTGCCGCCGCACCTGCGCGTGGTCCGCGCGCGCCAGCTGCGCTCCGAGGCCAACGAGCGGCTCTTCGAGGAGAAGTTCCGCGCCGTCGTGCTCACCGACGACCAGGTGGACCAGGCGCTGTGGGAGGAGCAGGTGCTGCAGAAGGAGCGGAAGGACAGGCTGGCCCGGAGCCAGGCCGAGGCGCCGGCGCGGCCCGAGGTCGCCGGCTGAAGCCGCCTCCCTGCCCCGCTCGCCCGTGTTGGCCAAGTCACGTTCGGAGCCCGCTCGCTTTAGGAGCTGCGGGGGGCTGAGCGCGGGCCCGCGCGGGGCTCGTCTCCGTCCGCGCGGCCGAGAACCCCTGCGTGTTGCACATTTGCCGCTCAGTGGTAGAGCGCTTGCCTGGCAGCTGGGACACTTTTCCATCCCCAGCATGGTGAGAACAGAGCAGAAATACGCGGGTCTTTCTCCTGGCCCACGTGGCCACCCTGGTGGAGAAGTACTGCGTTGGTCAGGTGACTCCCAAGCCACTCCGTAAAACCATTTGGTTTCTTTTTTTTTTTTTTTGGTCTTTTTGAGACAGGGTCTTGCTTCACAGTTCTCTGGCCTTGAGCTCGCTTTGTAGCCCAAGCTGGTCTCGGACTGGCAAGGATCCTCCTGCCTCAGCCTCCCCAGTGCTGGGATTGCCGGTGTGCACCGCCACGCCCGGCAACCATTTGGTTTCAATTTTTGGTTTTTTGGGGAGGCAGGGGTGTGACCCTAGGGATGGAATCCAAGATCTGCACTGAGCTACATGCCTAGCTGTTCTTTAATTTTTATTTTTATTTTGGTACTGGGAATTGAACCCAGGACCCCATACTTGCCAGGCCCGGTCTTTAAATTTTGTTTCAGTTCCATAGAGCATCTCACTGCTGCTGTGTCATTGGTTTCCAACTCATGGGCTCAAATGATCCTCGGCCTCAGACTTTGGAGTTACGGGGACTGCAGGTGGCTACCACCACGTCTAGCTTCAGCTAACTAAATTTTTTTCTGTATCAGGTTGAACCCAGGGCCTTCTCAATGAAGTCCTTTTTTAAATTTTATTTTGAGACAAGGTCAGTCTTGCTAAATCGCCCAGACAGGATTGGAAGTTGCAAATCTTGGGGCTGAGCCTCCCAGAGCACTAGGATTACAGATTTACACCACCGAGCCTGGCTTTGTAGCATCTCATCTTGTGTTTTATTCATTTGTTTTTTTGGTACCTGGAATCGAACTCATGACCTCAGGCTTGCCCAGCAAGTGCTTATGCCACTGAGCTATATCCCCAGCCCTTGTCTTGTGTTTTATGGGTGCTTTTGTTGGTTTTTGTTCTGTTTCGATTTGGTTTTGGTGCTGGTGCTGGTGATCAAACCCAGGGTCTTGCAAATAGTCTGTACCACTTAGCTATACGCGCCAGCCCTCTTGTTCCTTTTTTATAACTAACATTTTTGTTTTTGTATTTTTAAAAACTGTCTTGGAATAACTTTAGTCTCAGTGAAACTGGTAACATACTTCATAACTTGCACCCAGCTTCCCTGAAATGTAACTAACATTAAACCAAGAAACTGACATTGTCTGAATGTTTGATTATAAGAGGGAAATGGCAAAAATAACTTGATTTTGCCATATATATATTGATGGTTTTTGGAAGTGGTTTAGAAAGCTACAAAGCATGCCTTCATTTCAGAATTTATATGGACTCCGCATTTTGTGGAAAAGGGTAAGTTAGCGTACTGGTACTTAGCTGGGTTATGGTTACGATTACCTGTGAAGCTAAAATATTTGGGGAATGAGACCACCTCTGTCATCTGGGTGGCCTGTGGGTAGACAATAAACCCAGGAGATGAAACAGTTATCTTTGTTGTGACGCTTTGGGGGGTTGTTCCGCTTTAGTTGTGGTGCTGGGGACAAACCCAAGGGCATGCTACACACACTGAGCTACACCCCCTGACCACTGCCCTGTGATGTTTGTGTTTATTTGCCACTTAATTTTTGACAATTGAATTTTTCATTCATAATGTAGGTTCACTGAGTACATGAAAGGTTTTCAGTCTTTACTTCGAGGCAAGAGAGGTAGAAGTCTGCATCTCTGCTCCACAGAGGGAAAACTGAGGTTGAGAGAGTTTACTTTTTCCAAGATTGTGGCAGATCCATCATTCAGCCTCTGCCGGCCCTGTGACTTAGTCCTTAGACTAGAATTGTGGGACAGGTGGCCATGGTGCCGCACGCCTGTAATCCCAGCAGTTGGGACACTGAGGCAGGAGGTTTGCCAAGAGTTTGAGGCCGGCTTGGGCTACATAGTGAGTTCAGGGCCAGCCTAAACAACTTTGAGAACCTGTCTCAAAAAGAAAATTATGGTACGGTATTGTAGTTGATCCTAATACCTTAAGGGGAGTGTGCGTGTGTGGGGAGGGGGCATTGTAGATGGAATCCAGGGCCTCATGCATGCCAGGTGGGTACTGCAGTGAGCTACATCCGTGGTCCCCTTTGCCAGAATTTGTTAAATACTGTCACTGTTTGCCATAAATAAAACTTAGATGCAGGAAAAAATTCAATAAATACAAAAAAGAAATGGCAATGAGCACAAAAGCCAAAGCCAGGCGCAGTGGCATGTGCCTGTAGTCCTAGCACACGGAAGCTGAAGCAGGAGGATGGCAAATTCCAGTCCCATATAAGCAACGTGATGAGATTCTATCTCACAAAAGGGCTGGGGTCAATCCCCAGTAACACAGAAAAGTACTGGAAGAGGAGTACACACCTTGATCCTTGTGTCAGCTCTTAAATGCCACTGTGACGTCCAGCCAAGGGTGTCTTGCACAGAACCCGAAATCCACAGAGAGCACGAGTCTGCGTGACTTACCTGTGGCCAGAAGCTGGGCTGTTCCTGGCGGAGTCACACTGTAGCATGGCCCCCGCTCCGGCAACTCAGAGGGCCTGGTGTAAGGCCCCAGGGAGGGGATGCTGGGCTGGGAGGGGCCTTGGTGGACCTGGTACTAAGCATCTTGGGTCACACACGGCCCCTGAGAACGGATCCAGGGCCCCCTGTACACTTCTGAGCTCCCTGCACCCACAGTGCTCAGCCTGCAGAAGATCACAGCACCTCCTGTGAGCCAGGTGTGGTGGCGCATACCTGAAATTCTGAGGGGAGAAGTTTGAAACCAACTTAGGGAGACCCTAAAAAATATTTTTTAAAGGCCCAGGAGTGTAGCTCAGTGATAGACACTTACTTGCCTAGCATTTGTGAGGCCCGGGGGCTCCCTGTGAGGAGGCCTCAGAATGGTAGGGTGCTGCTACAGCTGAGCCTCGTGTCACTCAGGACCCAAAGACAGCAAAGATCCTTGGAACCTGACATTAATACTGTCAAGTTCTCCTTTTCTTTTTTCGTTTTATTAGGTTTTTTTTTTTTTTTTTTATGTCTTTTGAGACAGGGCTTTCACTATACTGTTAAGGCTGCCCTTGAACTCCCTATGTAGTCCAGGCTGGCATCAAAGTCATGATGATCCTCCTGCCTCAGCCTCCTGAGTACTGGGATTACAGGCGTGCGCCACCAGGCCCAGCCTTGCTTTTTGTTTTTGGAGGCAGAGTCTGTGTCGCCCAGGCTGGTCTCGAGCTCTTGGCACCCCTGCCTCAGCCTCCCAACTGCTGGGATTACACTCGTGCAGCCCCACATCCGTCTCCCACTTTTTCATAAAAATTTTTTTTGGCAGTGCTGGACATGGAATCCAGGGCGTTGCAAGTGCTCGGCAGGTGCTCTCCCATTGAGCTCCTCTTGCAGCATTTAAGTTTTATTCTATACTAGACTTTCCAGACCAGTCCGCGGTTGTCCTCCCGCGGGTCCTTACTGCAAAAAATACTATCCTTGCTGTTGTGATTAGAGAGCCAGCAGAGGGCGCCAGAGACTCGTTCAGAGTTCGGCCTGTCCCTCCTTCCGGGGCCAGCCCGGGGTTGCTTTTGTTCGGGAAACGGAGCGCGGGTGAGCAGTGCGGTCAGAGTACACGGTCCCGGGCCCATAGTGAGTTCAGGGGCAGCCTGCGCTGCGCAGTGAGACCCCGTCTCAGAAAGAAATGGCTACGATGCGAGAAGCGCGTTGGGAGCGAGGGGAGGATTTTGAGGAGGATTAAAGGACCACTGTAATCAAGGTCCTTGTTGTGGTTTCTGGGTGTAAGCACGGTCTAGGCGTCACACGCGGTTGTGACTCTCGAGTCCCTCTTCATCTGCGGCGGGGACCCGGTTTGTGCAGGGTGGGTGGGCTGTCACCACCTCGTTCCCCGGGGTCTCAAGCGCCGGGGCCTCGCACCGCGCGCATCGCAGGGCGGACTCCGCGCGGCCCGTGAGTCAGTGCCGGGGTGCAGCCCGGGCAGGCGGGCCCGGGGCTTCCCATATGCCGATGAACGAGCCAGAGCTCTGGAAAGAAAATATTACCAGGGCGGGCTGCAGCTGGGTGGTGGAGGGCGGTGGAGCGCACAGCCTTCTGCCCCCGGCACTGAGGGGTGAATGCAGGGCCTTCATGCTGAGCTGCACCCCCAGCTCTTTATTATTTATTTTGAGACAGGGTCTCAATAAGTCACTAAGTTGTCCAGACTGTGATCTTCCTGCCTCAGCCTGCCAGAGTTCTAGCCACCGCGCTCGTGCGTGCGTGCGTGCGTGCGTGCGTGCGTGCGTGTGTGTGAGTCTATGCCATTGCGCCTGCCTGTTCCACAGTTGCCCATTCACTCCGAGCTGACTTGGCGGCAAGCCTGTGCACATAGTGAACACCAGAGGGCGCCAGAGAGCGTCTCTGCTCCTTGGAAGCCTCAGCCATTTCTCTGGAGTGAGGCTGGGTCTGGTCTTTCCCCAAAGCAGGCTTCCCCGCGCCCCCCCAACCCCTTCAAGCAGGCTTGATCCGGGAAACATTTCCAGGAGAAAGATGAGCAGCCTTGGCTTCCTTTAATGCACATACGAGGGTTTCATGCCGAGACGTTTCCCTGGCATGGGTGACAGTTCTCTTCAGCATTTACGGGGCATGTGCACAATAACGGGCTAGTATGTTCCTCCCACAGAATTTAACCGGAGCTGGGCATGGATTGTGCACCCTGGGAGACTGAGGTGTGAAGCCTGCCTAGACAATTTAGTGAGACCCTGTCTCAAAAAATAAAAGGGTCTGGGGATATAGCTCAGTGCAAAGGCCCTGGGTTTAATCCTCCGCAGGATAAAAATACTTTTCTGGGTTTTTTTTTTTTTTTTTTTTTTTTTTTTTTTTTGTTTTTTCGGTACGGGGAATTGAACTCACGACCTTGTACTTGCCAGGCAGGTGCTGTGCCGCTGAGCTAAATTCCCAGCCTCCCCCCCTTTTTTTTTGAGACAGGGTCTTGCTGTATAGTTCAGGCTGCCCCTGAACTAACTGTATAGCCCAAGCTGGCCTCATCCTCCTGCCTCAGCCTCCCAAGTGGTGGGATTACAGGCATGCGCCACCACGCCCGGCCCAAGGTGGCCTTGAGCTCAGCAATCCTCCTGCCTCAGCCTCCGGAGTACTGGGATTACACAAGTGTACCAGCAAGGCCGGCTGCCTGGGGCAGGAGGTGCTTGAGGAAGGAGGAGA